AATGTCATAGTATAGTAAATAGGAAGGCAGAAAAAGTCATAATATAGTAAGGCAGAAAGATTCATAAAAATGTCATAGTATAGTAAATAGGAAGGCAGAAAAAGTCATAATATAGTAAGGCAGAAAGATTCATAAAAATGTCATAGTATAGTAAATAGGAAGGCAGAAAAAGTCATAATATAGTAAGGCAGAAAGATTCATAAAAATGTCATAGTATAGTAAATAGGAAGGCAGAAAAAGTCATAATATAGTAAGGCAGAAAGATTCATAAAAATGTCATAGTATAGTAAATAGGAAGGCAGAAAAAGTCATAATATAGTAAGGCAGAAAGATTCATAAAAATGTCATAGTATAGTAAATAGGAAGGCAGAAAAAGTCATAATATAGTAAGGCAGAAAGATTCATAAAAATGTCATAGTATAGTAAATAGGAAGGCAGAAAAAGTCATAATATAGTAAGGCAGAAAGATTCATAAAAATGTCATAGTATAGTAAATAGGAAGGCAGAAAAAGTCATAATATAGTAAGGCAGAAAGATTCATAAAAATGTCATAGTATAGTAAATAGGAAGGCAGAAAAAGTCATAATATAGTAAGGCAGAAAGATTCATAAAAATGTCATAGTATAGTAAATAGGAAGGCAGAAAAAGTCATAATATAGTAAGGCAGAAAGATTCATAAAAATGTCATAGTATAGTAAATAGGAAGGCAGAAAAAGTCATAATATAGTAAGGCAGAAAGATTCATAAAAATGTCATAGTATAGTAAATAGGAAGGCAGAAAAAGTCATAATATAGTAAGGCAGAAAGATTCATAAAAATGTCATAGTATAGTAAATAGGAAGGCAGAAAAAGTCATAATATAGTAAGGCAGAAAGATTCATAAAAATGTCATAGTATAGTAAATAGGAAGGCAGAAAAAGTCATAATATAGTAAGGCAGAAAGATTCATAAAAATGTCATAGTATAGTAAATAGGAAGGCAGAAAAAGTCATAATATAGTAAGGCAGAAAGATTCATAAAAATGTCATAGTATAGTAAATAGGAAGGCAGAAAAAGTCATAATATAGTAAGGCAGAAAGATTCATAAAAATGTCATAGTATAGTAAATAGGAAGGCAGAAAAAGTCATAATATAGTAAGGCAGAAAGATTCATAAAAATGTCATAGTATAGTAAATAGGAAGGCAGAAAAAGTCATAATATAGTAAGGCAGAAAGATTCATAAAAATGTCATAGTATAGTAAATAGGAAGGCAGAAAAAGTCATAATATAGTAAGGCAGAAAGATTCATAAAAATGTCATAGTATAGTAAATAGGAAGGCAGAAAAAGTCATAATATAGTAAGGCAGAAAGATTCATAAAAATGTCATAGTATAGTAAATAGGAAGGCAGAAAAAGTCATAATATAGTAAGGCAGAAAGATTCATAAAAATGTCATAGTATAGTAAATAGGAAGGCAGAAAAAGTCATAATATAGTAAGGCAGAAAGATTCATAAAAATGTCATAGTATAGTAAATAGGAAGGCAGAAAAAGTCATAATATAGTAAGGCAGAAAGATTCATAAAAATGTCATAGTATAGTAAATAGGAAGGCAGAAAAAGTCATAATATAGTAAGGCAGAAAGATTCATAAAAATGTCATAGTATAGTAAATAGGAAGGCAGAAAAAGTCATAATATAGTAAGGCAGAAAGATTCATAAAAATGTCATAGTATAGTAAATAGGAAGGCAGAAAAAGTCATAATATAGTAAGGCAGAAAGATTCATAAAAATGTCATAGTATAGTAAATAGGAAGGCAGAAAAAGTCATAATATAGTAAGGCAGAAAGATTCATAAAAATGTCATAGTATAGTAAATAGGAAGGCAGAAAAAGTCATAATATAGTAAGGCAGAAAGATTCATAAAAATGTCATAGTATAGTAAATAGGAAGGCAGAAAAAGTCATAATATAGTAAGGCAGAAAGATTCATAAAAATGTCATAGTATAGTAAATAGGAAGGCAGAAAAAGTCATAATATAGTAAGGCAGAAAGATTCATAAAAATGTCATAGTATAGTAAATAGGAAGGCAGAAAAAGTCATAATATAGTAAGGCAGAAAGATTCATAAAAATGTCATAGTATAGTAAATAGGAAGGCAGAAAAAGTCATAATATAGTAAGGCAGAAAGATTCATAAAAATGTCATAGTATAGTAAATAGGAAGGCAGAAAAAGTCATAATATAGTAAGGCAGAAAGATTCATAAAAATGTCATAGTATAGTAAATAGGAAGGCAGAAAAAGTCATAATATAGTAAGGCAGAAAGATTCATAAAAATGTCATAGTATAGTAAATAGGAAGGCAGAAAAAGTCATAATATAGTAAGGCAGAAAGATTCATAAAAATGTCATAGTATAGTAAATAGGAAGGCAGAAAAAGTCATAATATAGTAAGGCAGAAAGATTCATAAAAATGTCATAGTATAGTAAATAGGAAGGCAGAAAAAGTCATAATATAGTAAGGCAGAAAGATTCATAAAAATGTCATAGTATAGTAAATAGGAAGGCAGAAAAAGTCATAATATAGTAAGGCAGAAAGATTCATAAAAATGTCATAGTACAGTAAGACATAAAAAGTCAAAAAAATGCCTTAGTGTAGTAAGGCATAAAAAGTCATATCATAGTATGGCAGAAAAAGTCATAGTATAGTAAGGCAGAAAGATTCATAAAAATGTCATAGTATAATAAGGCAAAAAATGTCATATTATAGTAAGGCAAAAAAAATGTCATAGTATAGTAAGGCATAAAATGTCATATTATAGTCAGGCAAAAAAAATGTCATAGTTTAGTAAGGCATAAAAAGTCATAGTATAATAAGGAATAAAAAGTCATTATAGTAAGGAATAAA